TGTAGCTCATACAGGATATCCACTTATTTCTAACAATATATAATATAGCAAGATTAAAAAGCAAGCACCCTTGTTTTACTGTTTTTCTCAATAACTTATTATCATTTTTGATTATTAAAGAAACCGATCAACTATATTTAAAAAAAAAAAAAAAAAAAAAAAAAAAAAAAAAAAAAAAAGTATCACACCTTGCCCCACTGTAAGACGTGGCATATCTCTTGTAATATGCTTATTAAGCACTTATACTGCATAAGAACTCAATAAACATATTGTAAGGGACTTAAATAAAATGATTTCAAAATAAATCTTTATTTGTTAATTTAATTAAGAAAAACATTATTTAGAAGTAGGGTCAAAAACTTATTCCATTTTTAATAATATACATTTATATATATAAGGAAAGGTACTTATAACATCATAAAATTTTGTTTTACAATTAGCATATCCATTTATCGCAAATGGATCCAACCCATAAGCCGAAATTGAAATATAGTTACATACTGGATCGATTTCATTTATGTTTATAAAGTTATATATATATGTCTTTTACTATATATTAGCATTGAGAGTTTAATTGCATATGTCTGCTCATATACTTATGACTGTTCTGTTAACATTATATACATCATACAAGATCTCAAAAGGAACTATATACAATAGCTACAGTAGTAGCTTTTATATTTTCAATGATTCAGAAAGGAATCCTGTAACTAGCAGGACTCACTCTCCTGCTTTCTCCTTTCTTTTCCCTGCGATAGTACAAAAAACATTATCCCTAAGCAAAATGCTTAGTGATGCATATATATATATATATATATATAATCAAGTGTAAATTCATATTTTTTCCAATGTTAACCATAACTGTAAATAAAACTTCATATGAAAATTCTTTTGATTGAATCTTTCTTAAAAATCAATCTTTCTTTCAACTGAGTAAGTAATTATATTAATAATAGTGAAAGAAATTCTCTGCTCAAAATCAATAATTATCTGTGTGAAAATGGTTACACAACATCATAATAATAGGAAAAGCATTAATTCAAGAAGCTTGACAATATTCAATTTAGTCTCAACAGCTTAAATAGACCGAAGGGCCATCAATGTTCTATGAGCTCATTAAGACAAAGCTTCTCAACCTCAATCTATGATTTATATCTCAATAGAAGAGAGACAATCTCAATCTCATTTAAGAGGAAATAATATTATTTTTTATCATTCATTTCCATATCAATAACAATATCAACTTCAACAAATAAAGTGATATCGGTAGGGCAATAACCATCTCTATCAGCTGTTGTGAGACTATAAATCATTTTATATATTAAATATAATTGAAAACAAATTCAGCAATATTCAATTTCCACAAACACTACTAAATTCAATCACAGCCAGCCCTCATACTACAAATAGTAATTGGCCAACATCCTCCTTCCCAAATAAATAACTTTCAATTTAACTTTTATAAATCATAAGGTATCAAATCATGCTTCTTTCCTTTGAAATCCATAACACCTTTATTTCAATATTTTCCTTTTTATCATAAATCACTTTATGAAATTAAATATGAAATCAAATACATTTTGACTTTAAACAAATAAGAAAGGAGTATTGCACTAACCTGAATTAGAAGGCTCCCCTAGCCTTTCTCCTCGAATTATTGACTTAATATTTATATCAACTTCATACTACTCAATAAACACACACATAAATTAGAAGGCTCCCCTAGCCTTTCTCCTCGAATTATTGACTTAATATTTATATCAACTTCATACTACTCAATAAACACACACATACTATCATAAGAATGCAAATTAAGTATTGAAATGTAGCATTCATGCTTTTCCTTCAATTTCACTATGCTTAATCAAGTACCATATGCTTTTCCTTCAATAATGGCACTCAATAACATATTAAAAGTGTGCTCAATTCATTGTTAACAAATGGAATTCAAGATTTTAATCACATGAGTAGCATGTCTTCCCTTAGCTATATCTCTAGTTTCTTAAATCTATTTATGCTGAAATTTTATAGCATCTTCCTCACATATTAGGCTAGTCCCATATAAAATTTCATGAATTTTAGAGCTCATTTTTACAGCCAAATAACCTAAACATCGTACTTGATTTTCAGTTAGTCTTTCCACTCAGCAGCTTGCATTCGTTTAATTATAACTCCATTTCTCCTCATCTATTGTACTAATCCTTTTATCACAACCTTTTCCAACATCCTAATATAGCTCCCTGTAAAATTTCATGATTTTTAGAGCTCATTTACCTATTTAACTAATTCAATCTTTGTGACTAAATTTTCAGATAGCTCACATATAATAACCTTTCAATGAGTTTACCTTTGTTATCTCCTTCCATCAATCATGAAATTCAATCCCATAACCTTTATTAGTTCATCTATACTATCATTAGACTTCATAGTCAGCCACTACAAATCATCAACAAGACCAATTCATGAATTTTCTTCCTCTTTTCTAATTCCAAGCATAATTTCATCATTAAATCATTTCAAACAACTTATTATCCTCTTAAATTCTAATTAAAATAATTTGGTTACAAAACCCTTAATTCACATACTTAATCTTAAAACCTGATTTACAAAACTATATGTGTAGTTATCAATTAAATCATATAGTCTTGAAATATAGGAAGAATTACTAACCTCTTTCACTTCCAAACTTGATTTCCATCTTTAATTAAGTCCTCCTTCCTTTCCTTAGTGCTTGGCCAAATATGGAGAAGAAGAAAGAAGCTTTCATTGGAGAATGGTAAGGAAAGAAGAAAGCTTGGCCAAATTTATAGTAAAAAGGGGAAGAGGTGGAATTTATCTTTTAGTGTTTTTATAGTTACTAATCTAAGCTTCTTTAATTTCCTTTCATGTCCTACCTTAGCCACAATTCAATTTATCTTAATCATTTTCTCTTTTTCTTTTCTTTTTTTTTTTTTTTTATTTCCTTACCTTTAATCATTTCTTAAGTACTAACACTTGGGTTGTACTAATTAAATCCTTAATCAACACTTTAGTTATTTATTGTTTTAAGTACTAGACCAAAATGGTTGATTGAGAAGCTTCACATGCTAGCTTCCCGTTAGTACTAATTAAATCCTTAATCAACACTTTAGTTATTTATTGTTTTAAGTACTAGACCAAAATGGTTGATTGAGAAGCTTCACATGCTAGCTTCCCAGACCAAAATGGTTGATTGAGAAGCTTCACATGCTAGCTTCCCATCACTGGGACTTAGGCTCACTTAACCTTCTTCCAATTTAATTCTCATCACATAATTAAATTTTAATTTGCATTATAACTTCCAATTAATAGTCCTACATAATAAAATGAAGGTAATCCTAATTATTCTAGTTTTTCAGATAATATTAATAAACGGTAACTTGAATTTCTAGAGCCATCAAATTGAGGGTATTACAAAACAAGTAATTATAATGAGTACTAAGTTGCAACGCGTGTTGTTAAATACTAGTAAAATTAAAAGAAAACAAATATAAAATTCAGTTTTCCCCATGGACACTGCCCATAATTGCATTTGATAGTTGGGTACCAATCCAAAGTAGCACAAATAGAAGTATCATCAGTTTTAGCTATGGAAGTCATTCTTTCGCAATACACACATAAGTATCATCAGATTAGCTATGGAAGTCATTTCCTGCACAAAAGTGTCATCAGTTTTAGCTGTAGAATTCATTCCTGCACAATAACCTTTACATAATTTACCTCACCTAAACAAAACTAGAATAATGAATAAAAAATTAACAGTCTAATCTTGGCATTTAATTCATTTATGGAATGTGATGTGTTGATAAAAATAATTATTTCCTTCTGTGTATATATATATATATATTTTTTTATTACGAAGGTAAAGGGCATAGCTCTAATGAAAAAACTACACACAATCTCTAGGGTGGGACACCACACTTACATCATGCAGCAACCATAAATCAAGGCCTGGGGGGCGTCTCTGAGATGTGGAAGCCTGAAGAGAAAGAGCTCACCACATCAGCAAGGAAGTCTATTGAGTAATTAGCTTCACGATACACGTGATTTACTTGACAGGACCAGTTCAATGACGACATGTCTTTCATTGCGATGATGACAGGACGTAGATTATTAACTGGGAGATCCTTAACATGAATAAGAGAGACCACCAATTAGTTATCACAGCCTACTTCCAGCGTCCTAATACCCAAAGACCATGCTAATCTGACACCCTCTAAAAGTGCCCAGAGCTTAGCATTAAGGACTGAACAAGTTCCCATGTTCAAAACAAATCCCTTTACCCAGCTCCCTTTTCCATCCCTGATGAGTCCACCACTATACGCCCACCTTTGATTGAACCATCACAATTCAGTTTGAAGCTATCCATAGTGAGGTAGGCCCAGGAGATCCAACTTATCATTTTCAGTTTGGTAAATAAGGAGGAGCCTGGAACCAAAGAAACCACTAAAATGACTTTAGTGGAATACGATTTGATGGTGGCAATGAAATCCGTAAATGCTAGGTATATATCTTGCCGAGTCGACGGAATCCAAACCAGTAAAAAGGAGGGCATTCCTTCGATTCCATAGCTTCCAGCAGGAAATGCAAAAAAGAATCAACCATTGGATCCCGCTACTGTGGAGAGTAGTATATTGGAGGTTTATAACCATCCATTGGGTCACAGAGTTGTTATGAAGTCCAGCCAAGATAAAGGGGGGTTGATTCCTTACTAAACATGACTCATAAATCCACAGTCTCTCAAAATATGAAGGAATAACCATACAGAGTTCACAGCTCACAATTTTAACAAGATGTCTTCTGAACCTGACTTCATTTGTAAGGAGTTTGTTTTGAACAAGAAGCCATAGGAACATCCTCACACGCTGGGGACCCTTCCAAGACCAAACGCATTTCCAGTGCATATCACGATTCATCCCAACAGTACCCTCAAGGAAGTCATATGCTAATTTTACAGTGAAATTCCCTAAACTAGTGAATCTCTAGTGCATAGAGTCAGGCTTATTGGTTTTGTTTGGGGGAATAACAGCCACCATGCATGTCACAATGGAAGAGGGAATGAAACTAGCGAATCTCAACCAATTCCACGAGCCATCATTCGACACGTAAACAGCAATAGGATTTTCTAGCATCTTATGAGGGATGGCAGTAGTAGCATGGTCCTTTAAAATCACCCCATGAAGTAGCCATCTGTCTGTCCAAAATTGAGTAGTCCTGCCATTGCCTATAGTCCAAACAATATAGTCCACTAGGGAACCCCACATATCAGGGATCCCTCTCCATTGGGGGCGAAGCACTGTTGCGATTGATGTCTGAGGATTGGTACCCCGCTTGCAACCTATATTGAGTAGAGATAACTTTAGCCCATAGCGAATTCGAATTTATGATCAACTGTCATGCCAACTTCATCATAAAATCCTTATTAAGAAAGGATAGGTCCCTGAAGCCTGATCCCCCCAAATGTTTTGGTATTCGAAAATTTTCCCAAGAAACAAGAGATACTCATCGCTGGTCTTTACTCGATCCCCAAATAAAATTGCGAAAAATCTTCTCGAATTTATTACAGATATATACCGGGAGCATTGTGGTTTGCATTGCAAACTGAGGCATAGTCTAGATGACTAACTGTGCAAGGGTAACTCTTTCATAGAAAGATGAGTCGTTGTCCAAGAGGATAGCCTCTTATTGGCATTCTCCACAATGTACTCATAGGTGTTTTTGCGGACCTTGTCATGTAAAAAGGGACACTTAGGTGCTTACCCAGATCAGCAGTCTCCTAAAATCCCAAAATCAACTGAGTTTATGCTTCATAACTAAAGGTACTGTTGGTTTAGAAGAGCAGAAAATTAAGGAAGAGAAGGAAATTCTGCAGAAAAAGAAAAAGCTGCAGATTTTGTGAGTGTGAAGAAACAATTAATTAAAAAATTAAGAAGAGAAAGGAATCTGCAGGGAAAAAAAGAAAAAGCTGCAGATGTGAGTGTGAAGAAACAATTAATTTCTTATTAATTCCATTACAGCATAATGTAAATATTTATAGTAGTAGAGCTAGTTCTAAAGTTTGTTCACCAACCTTCCATAAGTCAAAGGGAAGGTTGTTCACCAAAACCTACCTAAAAGCAAGGTAGTCACCTACCTCTTGATCACCTACCTCTTGATTTCAACAAAATACAACAAAATCTAAATGATTTCTCCAAAAACTGTCAACAACACTTGCATCAATTTTAGCTTCAAGAGCCGTAGCTATAACTTTAACACTTCTCCTTGATGCAAGAGTTGAGACAAACACCAAGTCTATTCCTAAGCAATCAAATATTGATTTTTGCAATGCCTTGGTGAAAATATATGCCGTTTGGTCTTCAGAACTGCAATGAACAATCTGAATTTCATTTCCTTTTCACCTTCACGAATTGCATGGTACTTGATTTTTATATGCTTGGTTTTTCCATGGCAGATTGGATTCTTAACCATAGCAACAGCTGATTTGTTGTCACAAAGTATTATAGTTGGATTTTTCTTGTGAAAAATTCAGGATCAAACTAATACCTTCTCAACCATATAGCTTGGTTTACAGCAGCAGATGCTGGCAACATACTCTGCTTCGCAGTTGATTTGAGCAACTGAAAGCTGCTTTTCTTGTTCCCCAGCAAATGACAGCAGAACCAAGCTGAAAAACAAACCAGTAGTGCTCTTCATATCGGTCCAATGAACCAGCCCAATCACTGTCTGAGAACCCAACAACTTCACACCATTTAATTCTTCTAAAAACAAACCAAAATTCAGCAAGTTCCTCGCACAATCTCAGAACTCGTTTGGCTGCTTGTAAGAGATGGTTTTTCAGTTGGAGATTTCATGAATCTCGACAGTAAATTTGTTGCACAGTAAATTTGTTGCAAACATGATATCTGGTCTTGTTACAGATAAATACAACAAAGAACCAACCATGCTCCTATAAGTTGAAGCATCTATAGAGTGAGAACCATCATCCTTTTGCAATTTTATTCCATGGGCTATAGGTGTACTCACTGGTTTGCATTTGCTAAGTTCAAACCTTTTAAGCAGCTCCCAAGCAAATTTCTTTTGTGAAATAAAAATCACTTGCTCATCTTGAGCAATTTCAATCCCTTCAATCCCAAGGAAATAACACATTAAGCCTAGATCATTCATCTCAAAAACCTACTGCATCTTCAATCTGAATTCTTGAATTAATTGTAAATTGTTGCCTGTGACAAGTAGATCGTCAACGTACACAGAAACGATAAGCACATCACTTCCTTATTGAGTTACATTACATAAAGTGTTGCCTCATTCAAGCTGCATTTAAAACCCAAATTCAGCAAGTAATGATCAATCTTGGCATACCAGGCCCTTGGGGCCTGTTTTAAACCATAGAGTGCTTTCTTCAACAAACACACTCTATTACTTCCATCATTAAAACCTTCAAGCTGCTCAATATACACTTTTTCCTTCAAAGAACCATTTAAGAAAGCGGATTTCACATCCAATTGAAAGACTTGCCAACCTTCACTTGCTGTTAGTGACAAAATCAATCTGATAGTGTCAAATCTTGCAACTGGTGCAAAGGTTTCTGTAAAATCAACTCCTTGCTGTTGAGCGTAGCCTTTAACAACATATCTTGCTTTGTGCTTATTGATAGAGCCATCAGAATTTAATTTCAATTTGAATACCCATTTAGTTCCAATTACATGCTTATTCAATGGTCTAGGAACTAAAATCCATGTTTCATTCTTCATAATCATCTATCTTCAAACTCCTCCTCCATGGCAGCTCTCACTCAGGCAATTTTAAGGGCTTTCATCCACCTGAAGTGGTTCAAGTGAGACAAACATTACATCTGCTGTAAATTTCCTCTAGGATCTGTTCCTGTTTCTAATTGCATAATCATCTTCATTGATTCTTCTTCATTGTTCAACTGGAAAGTTTCTTGCTCTTGCTGGAAAATCAAGAATTGAATTTAGAATTTCTGGTTCCATTTACTCCAATGTCCCATTCACCTTTCTTCATCGAATTTTGGACCACTCCTGCTGGGAACATAACAGCCTGTTAGTAACAGGATTCAAAAATCTGTAGGCTTTTGGAATTCACTGCTATATCCTACTAAAAATTCCTTTTTCAGCTCGTTTGATCCAATTTCCCTTCTTTTTTGCATTGGAATAAATGAATAACATATGCTCCAAAGATTTTGAGATGACCAACCGATGGTGTAACTCCAAAACCACTTTCGAAAGGGTTTTTCCATCAATTAGCTTGGTTTGGAAGCCGATTGTGAAGATATACAGCAGTGTTTACAAAGCTTCAGCCCAAAGAAACTTTGGGTAGCGATTTTTCTCAAAACAAAGGAGACATCTCGCCATTCATCACAGATCGATCTTTCTTTCACTTACCAACCATTTTGTTGAGGTGTGTAAGCTACTGTTAATTGATGGTGAATGCCAGCTTCTTGCAAATATTGCTTGATTTGATTGGATGTAAATTCAGCCCCATTATCAGATCTTAAAATCTTGATTGGGGAGCCAACTTGATTCTCTACCATTGATTTAAACTTCAAGAACATTTTGAAAACTTCAGATTTGAATTGGAGGAAATATACCCAGCATAATCTGGTGTAGTCATCAATAAACAATAGAAAATACTTGCTGTCATTGTAAGATGAGACACTCATAGAGCCACACACATCAGTGTGTATTAATTCAAGTTTCATAGAAGCTCTCCATGCTTGATCAGATGGAAATGGTGTTTGGCTGAGTTTGCCTAACTGACATATGAGTTTGCCTAACTGACATATTTCACATATACTGCTGTCTTCTTCAACTATAGATGGCAAATCAGCAACTAACTTTTTGGATTGTAGCAATTTTAATGAATTGAGGTTGGTGTGACCAAGTCTCTTATGCCACAAATCAGATTCTTCTTTATGACTCAAGCAAGATTCTTCTTTGAAGTCTCTTAAATTTAGAGGAAAGCTTCTAGCTTCTTTACGTTTCCATTTTTGACAGCAAATAACTTTGAGCTTGAGCCAGAAGGATCACTTATTTCACAAGTTTTATCTTTAAATAGCAAACTGTAATTCTTATCCAGCAATTGACCAACTGAAAACAAGCTTTGATATAGTTCTGGTACGTAAAGAACATCGGAAACAAGCTTTGTACCTGAAGGAGTTTGTACAATCACATCTCCTTTGCCTTTGGCATCAACAAGCCTACCATCTCCAAGTCTGACTTTTGAAGAATAGGTTGTATCCAAGCTATCGAAATTCACCGAGTTTGGTGTCATGTGGTTAGTGCAGCCACTATCAACAAGCCATGCTTCTTTAGCTTCAATTGAGACACCACATTTTTTAATTACCACATTTTTCAATTTCATTTGCAGCAAACAGTTGTTCTTCATACTTTTCAAAATTTTCGGTGACTTGTGCATGATGGGCTTGTGTTTGTTTGCATGATGGGCTTGTGTTTGTTGATTCTGGTTTGTAGAACAAACTTTCTCGGTGTGACCAAATTGCTTACAAACCTTACATTGAGCTCTAGGTCTGAACTAGCAGTAGTTCTCAGTGTGGTTTGTTTTTTTGCAATGTGGACAAGGTGGAAATCTGTCTTTCCTCCAATTTTTTTTGAAATTGTTCTTCATTTTTGGTTGTTGAGTCACTACAAGAGCCTTCTCTCCCAAGGTTTCTTCTTCCCTGTAGGCTTTTCTTTGTTCTACAGCTTGTAGAGCATTTAAAAGCACATTCAATGATATTTGTGACATGTTCCAAGTATCTTCAAGAGAAGAAATCTTGGCTTCAAATTTTTCAGGGAGAGTTACCATAACTTTCGCCGCAATTCTCTTCTCTTCTAACTCTTCTCCCCTAACTTTCTCCCAACAATCGAAATTTGGTTTTTAACAAAATTTCATAACTCTCTAATCAATGTAATCTTTCACACTTTTCATTGTCCTTCATTTTCCAAACATTTCAAAATTCTTTTTCTAATTGAATATCTTGCATCTTTCTAGTTTTTTTCAGATCCATGATACTCCAATTTTTTAAACTTCTCTCCCAAGCTTCATGTGCTGTCCTCACATGTCATAATCTGGTGAAGATAGGATCTGCAACAGCTGCAATGGATATAGGAACAGAGCTTTTGAGCCTTAGCAACCTCTTTCTTCATGTTGTTCTAATCTGCTGAAGGGTTGGATTTTTGATTAAGAGAGTGGAGGGTAACTCTGTTTTTCCTCCACCATACTGCCATAATCCAAGCCCTTGAAATAAGCCCCTCTTCCCATCTTCACAGACCAAAACATGAATAGTTTTCCCCCATTAAACAATGAGGGTGGTGAAAAGAGATGAAAGAGACATGCTGCTGGAAGCCATTTGCAGAAAAGCAAATAAACAGAAAAACTTCACAAATTCTGGTTTATTTGGTGGCTTTCTCTATGTTTTTCACTCTAACACACACACAGCCCTTTGAGATCAAGGTTGTTCTGATACCACTTGTTGGTTTAGAAGAGCAGAAAATTAAGGAAGAGAAGGAAATTCTGCAGAAAATGAAAAAAGCTGCAAATTTTGTAAGTGTGAAGTAACAAATATTCACTTCTTATATTTTCCATTACAGCATAATGTAAACATTTAAAGTTTGTTCACCAACCTTCCATAAGTCAAGGAAGGTTGTTCACCAAACCTACCTAAAAGCAAGGTAGTTCAACTACTTCTTGACTACAACAACAAGGTAGTTCCACTACCTCTTGATTTTCAAACAAAATACAACAAATCAAAATGAATTTAAACAAATACCTCCAAAAATTTGTCAACAATAACTTTTTGCATCAATAGCTGTAGCTGTACACTTTAACATGGTACATTGGGTTGGAAAAAGTAAAACTTGGGGTTTTTGTAATTGTTGCTTCCCCTGGCCAAGTAGCTATAAAAAATTCAACAAAATACAACAAAATCTAAATGACTTTAACAAAATACCTCCAAAAATTGTCAACAATACTTGCATCAATAGCTGTAGCTGTAACTTTAACAGGTACATTGGTGGAAAAGAAAACTTGGGTTTTTGTATTGTTGACTTTCTGGCCAAAGTAGCTATAAAATAAATCCAAGGTCTCTTTAATGACATGTACTTGATCCTCCGACGCTTGAGAGAAAAGGAGCAGGTTATCTGCGAAGAAAATATGCAATAGGGGTGGTCCCTTTCTAGAAGCGTGAATAGGCTTCCACGTCTTATCATTCACAGCCACTGAGATACATTGAGAAAGACACTCAAGACGTAGAACAAACAAATACGGGCTAAGGGGATCCCCTTACCTAAGCTCCCTTGTTGGAATAAATTCTTAGGAAGCAGTGCCATTTTATAAGAATTTCATGGAACTAGAAACACAATGGATTATAATATCCATAAAACCCATAGGTAGGCCAAGCTCCTGTAAGGTCTCCTTAAGAAACTGCCAGCAAACTCTGTCGTAGGCTTTCTCCAAGTCTACCTTGATTGCCATCAACTCGCTTTTCCCTGTTTTCTTTTTCATTGTGTGTATGACCTCTTAAGCTACCATGATGTTGTCCGTTATGTGACGACCAGGCACGAAACTGGTCTGTACAGGGCTCACCACATCGGGCATGATCAGCTTAAGTCTATTTGCTAAAATTTTAGTGATGATTTTATACATCACGTTAGAAAGGCTAATTGGCTGAAAATGTACAAAGAAAGTAGGATTTTGCACTTTACGAATGAGGACAAGAAGAGTAGCATTAAGCTCATCGCCTCTTGACTTCCTTCAAAATGTCCTTACCGACTACTTGCCAATGCTTTTGATAAAAACAACGTGGATCCCATCAAGGCCAGGGGCCTTCCAAGGTTTCATCTCAAATAGGGTATTTTTTACTTCAATAAGATTGACCTCCCTGGACAAATCCTACAATAAAGCGTCAGATATAGTCGGGAAGAAAGTCTAATGGATAAAGAGGGCCCCAATTGAGAGTCTTGCATGTAAAGTTTGGAGAAAAAGGCAACAACCATCTCCATTAAAATCGGTTGATCCTCTATCCAGTCCCCGACTTCATTCTTAAGGGCTTCAATCCTGTTGTGACGTCTTTGATTAATAGTGCTGAGGTGGAAGTAGGATGTATTTTTATCTCCATAAACCCGCCAATTAATTTTAGAATTCTGATACATTAATTTTCTCGCTTCAGGACTATATGTAGCATCCCTTTGAGTCTAAGTTCTAGCCTGGCCAAGGAAGGATACTGCCCCCCATTGAGCTTACGTTGAATACCTTCGATTTGGGCCATAATCTTGCGCTTTTGGTGAAAAACATTTTCGAAGACTTCTTTGTTCCAAACACTCAGCTTGTTAGAAAAAAAGAGATAAAGAGTTCATAAACGTACCCTCAGTTTGCCAATTGTTCTCCACAAAATCCGAGAAGTTAGGATGGGACATCCATACAACTAAGAATTGGAAGGGGAGCGGTAGGGCAATTTATAGCCCGAGGTGGTCAAAGCCTATTTTGGCTAGGTGTCTAATTATGGCTTCAGGAAAAGCAGTACGACAAGAAGAGTTAGACAAAGCCTTGTCCAATCTTTGAAGCAGATTGTCGCATTTCCACGTGAAGCAAGACCCACGAAAGCTAAGGTTTATAAGGTGGGAATTATGAAACCACGTAGCAAAGCCCTTGCTATTGCTTGACCGCCTACTAAATCCCCCTTTTTTTTCAATACTCTGAGAATGGCGTTAAAATCCCCCAAAAGAAGCTAAGG